GCCTCCATTGTTTTGTCTTCTAGAAACTTCACGTAACCCTTTAGGTAAGTTTGGCCCTGGTCTATGTGCCAGAGCCGGCTGCAATGTTCTACCACCGACCCCACCCTGTCACTGAATTCTGTGACGAAAAAGTCACACGTGTATGTTCCCCGCATTTTTCTTTTCCACCTTACCACCGTAACCACCTCTCGTGTAATCTGACCTTCGGTTACGACTTGGTCAATAACCGCCCTACTGTCTGCCCGCAACAATTTCATGACCCGACTCCCCGTCCCAAAGTCCTCCCTCATTTTTGTAACTGTCGCTAGGTGTTCCTTGCCTGTATCGCAGAGCTTATTTACTCTGTCCGTTGCCTCGTTTAGAGACTCCTTCAGTTCTTCTAGTTTTTGTTTGATCTCCGAGTTTGTGAATGCGGTAATTTTTATGAGTCTGCCTTGCGTTGTTATTTCTCTTGTTGTTTGCTGGAACACTTTGAGACAGATTTTTAAGTCTGGAGGAGAGCACGCGTTTAGTTTCCGTGAGTTGTGACGTCACGGCTGTCTCCGCTTCATTGACACTCTGCTTCAGATAGGTCTTCATGTCTTGGGATTGTTTGCGAATCTCCGCTAGGATTTCTTCCTTGGCGGAGAATTCGCTTGTACCGGGGGTCTGGGGGCCCGGTGTGGGGGTACATGAGGTGTGGGGGTACCGGAGGTGTGGGGGCCCGGTGTGGGGGTGCCGGGGGTCTGGGGGACCGGTGTGGGGGTACCGGAGGTGTGGGGGTACCGGAGGTGTGGGGGCCCGTTGTGGGGGTGCCGGGGGTCTGGGGGACCGGTGTGGGGGTACCGGAGGTGTGGGGGCCCGCTGTGGGGGTGCCGGGGTCTGGGGGACCGGTGTGGGGGTACCGGAGGTGTGGGGGCCCGGTGTGGGGGTGCCGGGGGTCTGGGGGACCGGTGTGGGGGTACCGGAGGTGTGGGGGCCCGGTGTGGGGGTGCCGGGGGTCTGGGGGACCGGTGTGGGGGTACCGGAGGTCCAGTCTACCAGACCTGTCACTTTTGCTTCCAGACACGACAGTCTTAGGTTGGTTTTCAGCCCCTCTTCGTGTATTTCTTGCACAGTCTTTCGAATAATTGCCAGGACGGAGGAAATGTGCTCTGAAACAAAGAGGTCACTTGGTGAAGGAGACTGGACATTGAGCGAGGTACGTAGTGGACATACTTGTGGAATATACATGGTGGTGGGTGAACGGTTAGAGTATAGGACAGATTGGGGATGGGGGGGGGGGGCAGAGAGAGAGAGAGAGAGAGAGAGAGAGAGAGAGAGAGAGAGAGAGAGAGAGAAGGAGACAAAGTGAAAGATAGAGAGAGATAGAAAGATTGAGAGAGAGACAGAAAGAGACAATTGGAGGGATATAAAGAGAGTGGCACACAGAGAGACAGAGAGAGACAATGGGAGGGAAATAGGAGAGAGACACACGGAGAGACACAGAGAGAGAGAGAGACAAACAGACAGACAGGGAAAGAGACGGACAGACAGACAGATAGAGACAGATAGACTGAAAGAAAAAGAGACGGAGATAATCAGAGAGAGAGAGAGAGAGAGAGTGAGAGAGAGAGAAACAGAGAGAGATATAAGGAGAGAAAAAGACAGAGTGACAAGGAGAGGCAGAGAGCGATAACGAGAGAGACAGAAAGAGAGACCAAGACAGACGAGTGAGAGAGGCGGAGAAAGAAAGACAGAGAGAGAAAGAGACAAAGAGAGAGACAGATTGAGAAGAAGAGAGATAGAGAGAGCGAAAAAGACAGAAAGACAGAGAGAGAGAGAGATAGATAGAGAGAGAGAAGGAGTGAGAGGCAGAGGGAGATAGACAAAAAGATAGAGAGAGAGAGAGAGAGAGACAGAGACAGAGAGAAAGATAAAGAGAAGCAGAGGGCGAGGCAGAGAGAGGTATAGAAAGATAAAGAGAGACAGAGATAGATAGATGGGCAGAGTTTTAGTTTAGTTTAGTATGGGGTTCTACGGTGCTCGCAACTGCATAAGGTCATATGAACGCGCAAAACACAAGTTAGTTTTTTATTCGAAGTTTACTGCACGGTTAAAACGTTAAAATATTTAAAATTTGGTGTAAATATATATTTTTTCAATCTAAAATATCATTTAAAAATTTTGATAATTTAATTATGTTCTACAACTTCCCATAAAGGCCAATGGCCTTCATAAAATCCAAAGTTCTGTTCGGACCAACGACGGGAAAAATGTCTTGCATTTTTTGGCATTTAAAGTATGTCCATCGGATCTCTCCAAAGTCTATACATTCGGTTAAAATGTGTCTTATGGTAAAAATCTGTGTCGCATCCGACACAGAATGGCTTCTCATCTCCCTGAAAGAGATATTTGTTGGTCAGGGCCGTGTGTCCAAAGCGCAATCGAGTAAAAATGACTTCGTCTCTTCTGGAGAGGTCCAAAGGATTTCGCGGTCCCAGTTTGGTTTTAATATTAAAGAGTTTGTTAATCGTCTGGGGTTTTTTTTCCAGTGGCTCTCCCACAGACTGGAGGTGTACTTTTTTACTTTATTTTTAGATCAGTTCGTGGGAGAGTGTTCGTCGTTGATCCCAACAGAAGGGATGAGGATTTCTTCGCCAGGTCATCTACCTGCTCGTTTCCTCGGATTCCCACTTTGCTAGGTATCCGTGCGAACACGATATTTTTCCCTGTTTCAGATAGGGTGTGTATTTTCTGTTGTAGCCTAACTATTTTTGGGTGTAGGAGTGGGTAGTTTGGGAGTGAGGTGATGCAAGACAGAGTCAGAAAGGATAAGGAAAGATTTGTTAGGAGAATTTTCTACAGAGTCCAGTGCAATGTCAATATATATATAATATAAAATGAAATAAAATATTTATCGTTTCTATAGTCCTACAGGAGAAGTTTGTTTCATTGGTGTGTATATTTGTTTAGTGATAGAGAAAACTCTCCTTGTCTTTTTAAAGAAATTGAACAAGGAGCAAAAAACTTTGATTTTTTTAAAACAGCTTTTTTTCTGGATTGCCCCACCTTGTGCTTAAAAGCGACCAATTATCGATTGGGATTGCTTACGTCATTGGGGTAGGGAGCCAGGCTCGATGTGTAGGGATAGAAGCGGTAATGGGGATAAAAAGAGAAGGAAAGACAGTTAGGCAAAAATAGAGATAAAGAGACATATTTGAAAGGGGGAAAGAAAACGAGAAGGAAAGACAGCAGTGGCGGTGGGTAGTGAAGGGTTTACGGGCTTGAGCCCCTCACCCCACCCCAACTCTGTCCCTTAGTTAATGAAAGTTTCTTAAATAACTAAACAGACAGTTGAAACCGCCATGATCACACGCAATGAACACACAGTTATCAGCTTGGCGGCTTGCCCGTTTATCCAATCACTGTTGTCACCGCTTACAACTTCTATAGTAACCTAACAGCCAATCAAATGTCGTTAGGGCTCAGAAAGAATAAGCCCGTTCCCACACCCATCTTTAATGAAACTCTTCCTGTAAAAAGATAGAAGACTTCTAAAAAATAACACTGCACAGAGTGCTCACGCTCTCCCAGCCCTGACAATGGGGTGAAAGTTTACGACACACTTTCCCCAGTGACACAGATACCTATGCGCCCATTGGGCCTTTGTTAGGCGCGTTCTATTTTCCGCAACAACACAACCCAATCCACCTCATACACGATGTGTGCTTGGAGAGCTGTGTGTTTGTGCAGCTGAGATTTAACCGTTATTAATTACATTAAACCACTTTTGAGGCAACTTTTTCTTCAGATAAAAACTAATTAGAGAAATTTGGAGGTGAAACGGCTTCGTCCCCATCATCCAGAAGAGCTGAAATTTAACTAAAAACAAAGAGATGGAAGACAAAGGTGACTCTTTTCGTTTGAATGGTTCTGAAAATGCCATGGATCGCTGTGAGTATAGAAAAATCATCACTGTTTTGTACTTATTGCTTGCTTTTTGGTGGTAAAGAAGTGGAAGAAACTTAAGCCCCACCCAAATCTTGGTCCACCCACCGCCACTGAAAGACAGACAGCTAATAATGGAGATAAAGATACAGAGAGGGAGAAAAGAGAAAGAAAAATAGAAGGACAGATAAACAGATAGGCACTAATGGAGATAGAGAGACATAGAAAGGGGGGAAGAAAAAGAGAATTTAAGGAAAGACAAACAGACTGGCGTTAGTGGAGATAGAGAGACACAGCGAGGGTAAAAGAAAAAAGAAGAGACAGACAGATAGTTGAGGGGGAGGGGGGTGTCTTTAGTTTGACCTTGTTCTTTTTACAATGTATGGAATTTGACTTTAAACATACTGTAAAAAAATCTTTTGTCTCTTTGCATTACGTTGCATTTCTACTACGATGTTTTTATTATTATTATCATTATTATTATTATTATTATTATTATTATTATTATTATTATTATTATTATTATTATTATTGTTATTATTATTATTATTATTATTATTATTATTTTATTATTATATTATTATTATTATTATTATTATATTATTATTATTATTATTATTATTATTATTATTATTATTATTATTACTTATTATTATCATTGTCTTTATTATTATTACTATTGTTACTATTATTATTATTATTATTGTTATTATTATTATTATTATCATTATTATTATCATTATTATTACTATTATTAATGTTATTATTTTTATTATTACTAATATTATTTCTATTGTGAGATGATATATCACTGCCAGCCCTAGCCCTGTGTCTGACTTATACCTAAATAAGTTGAAATGGGGCGTAACATTGTTCTAGTCATAATGTCTGATTGGTCTGAAAGAGAAGAACTTGTGTGTGTGATCAAGTGAGCACAATAATAATTATTATATTTTGTTTGTCAATTTTTTTCATTGAAACCAATTTTATTGGTAAATGGTTGATACTACGTGCCCGGTTTCCTGGTTACCGTGTACGTAGACACTGAGGCTAGGTGCCCGGTTGCCGTGTACGTAGACACTCCCTCCGTATTGCCGTATCCAAGATGGCGGACAAGGCTTCAAACGCGAACAGCAACACTTTGCCTTTGTCTCGAGTGAAGACAATTATGAAAAGCTCTCCTGAGGTATCTAGCATTAGTCAAGAGGCTTTACACCTGACTGGAAAAGCCACGGTAAGGAACTTTTACTGTGTTATAATAATAGGGGGCCTTTCCGTGGCAACTCAGAGAAGCTCCAGAAGCAAAGAAGCAGATTCAGATGGCCACCCGGAGTGAGAATAGTGCAGGCGAGTCTTGTGGCTATTCTCACCCCGTGCGCGTTCACCAAATTTTGCGTTCACCCTAAA